AACAGAACATATAGTAAAAACATGGTGGCTTACTTCACGCCACCCTCTCTGGAACGGTACAGCCCCATGCTTGGGCTGCTCAGTGGGCCAACATCAATATAGGTAACTTGCCATGGCCTCAACTACTACCCACCCCCTTGGATTCGCATAATCCCATTCAGGGTGCTGGGAAGGGAGCAATCCCCATTTCTCTGGAGCATGTAAACAGAGTCTGAATGAGCTCTCCCTTGACATCTAGTGGTGAGAAGTGAAAAAGGTCTTCAGGAGCTGATCTCATTTGCATGGGCACACCTACCCTACCTAGGTGCTCAGCACAATGGGATTGCTGGCCCAAATGGTCACTCTTGGCTGGTGTGGGATCCCCAGTCTCCTTGTTATTGGGGCAGGAGTAATAAAGCATTGTTATCCTCATTGTGTGAATCAAGGGCAGCAGAACTGTACTTGGCATTTGCCGATTGAGGGACTCACCCGCAACTAAATGGCACTCACTAGGCAGGGGACATGGGTTCCAAAGCCCGGTTGAGAGAGGGTGGGGACAGGTACTTCAGTTAAGAGAGGGTGGGGACAAGTACTTGTACAGTGGTGTGCACCTTGCCTAAGGGCCCCAGACACCATTTGACCCTTCCTCTCTCTGCTGTGTAATAACAAAGTTAATTTATCCTCAATTGATAGTCTTGTTACATGCTGCAGAGCTGAAATCACTGATATCTAGGTCTAAGTATTAGACCTGCTTTGGGACACTGTCTCTGATGCAAGAGACTGCCCAGTGTGCACCAGCAGTGAGGGTCCCCCACTAACAGCTAAAATCACTGAGAGCTGTGTTAAGTGGGGGGCAGTGACGACATCTTGGCTTGGCCAGCAGGGCGGCTGGTGGAGAGGCGTGGCAAGCAGAGGAGCGAGTAAGGTGCCTCCTTACCCCCACCTCTACCCAAGGTGGGAGATGAACTCTGGGTCTGCACTGTCCAAGGACAGCAACTATGAGTGGAGTGTATTGAAGGGACAGGGACATTAACACTGGTGAGGCCTCATCTGGAGTACTGTGTCCAGTTTTGGGCCCCACACTACAAGAAGGATGTGAAAAAATTGGAAAGAGTCCAGCGAAAGGCAACAAAAATGATTAGGGGACTGGAACACATGAGTTATGAGGAGAGGCTGAGGGAACTGGGGATGTTTAGTCTACGGAAGAGAAGAATAAGGGGGGGATTTGATAGCTGCTTTCAACTACCTGAAAGGGGGTTCCAAAGAGGATGGATCTAGACTATTCTCAGTGGTAGCGGATGACAGAACGAGGTCTCAAGTTGCAGTGGGGGAGATTTAGGTTGGATATTAGGAAAAACTTTTTCACTAAGAGGGTGGTGAAACACTGGAAGGCAAAGCGTTACCTGGGGGGGGGGGTGGAATCTCCTTCCTTAGAAGTTTTTAAGGTCAGGCTTGACAAAGCCCTGGCTGGGATGATTTAATTGGGGATCGGTCCTGCTTTGAGAAGGGGGTTGGACTAGATGACCTCCTCAGGTCCCTTCCAACCCTGATATTCTATGATTCTATGATTAAAGGGACTTTTGAGTTGCTGGACTTAAGAACCTGGGGGTAAAGGACACTGCCCAACTTACTTGGTGGTGAGCCTTTTGCTCGTGGCTTATGTTTATAAACCTTGATTGCGGCGTTTCCCCAAATTAATGCCGCATTATTTCCCTCCTTATATTAAAAGTGTTTTGCTACCCTCAGGCTCTGTGCTTGCCTCTTAGAGGCGCCCAGGGGGTGGTGTGTAATCGTCCCAGGTCACTGGGTGGGGGCTCAAGCTGATTTTATCTTGTATTATTGAAAAGGAACTCCTAGGTACTGAACCTGGCCCTTGTTGCTGCCAACTCTGACTGACAGAAGGGTTACAAGCACAAAGATTGATATTTTGTCTGGCCCTTAAACACAGGGTATGAAGTTGCAGGCTCCTTGCCCCCTCTACTCCTTGCACTCTACCCTGTGTCAGGCACAATCCATCCCTCAATGTCCCGACATAAAAATCCATTTATTCCTCCAGCTCTGATTTCCCATCCTCCATAACTGGCTCTTTCCAGGGAGATTTCTCCCCATTGCCTGGAGAGGTTGATCAGTTCCTGAAATGAAACTGTATCTCGTTGAACCTGAGATGAGACAAGTGCAGGTGACGCCATGGGAGGTTCCCCAAGCCACTGGCTTTCCTAAATCAGCAGTTTCCACGGTAAACATCTGATGAAGTGAGCTGTAGCTCACGAAAGCTCATGCTCAAATAAATTGGTTAGTCTCTAAGGTGCCACAAGTACTCCTTTTCTTTTTGCGAATACAGACTAACACGGCTGTTCCTCTGAAACCTAAATCTCCTGGAATTTCAGTGGCCCAGCCCAGCAGAGCACATACAGGAAGCTGGCTTGTCACTCAGTAATACATTTTTAAACCTCAATTTAAGCTGCAGATGCCTACCAGGAGGCTAAAAAGCTACAAAGGCTCTTCTCAGAGAAAGCGAGACAAAGGTGACTCAGTGGACCCAATATTTCTATCAGGGAAGTCAACAACAACACCTATTGGCATCAGTGAAAGCAAAAGCCTACTCAACTTGGGGCAGGTTTCAATTAAAGAACTGAAATCACTGTTTTCCCCCGATACTAGAAAACTCAAAGGGTGAAACTCTAAATTCACCTTCGCTATTCTGCAACAAATCTTTGCCTCTCTCTCTTTTAACACAAGCCAGCAGCTGCCTCACTGATGGATGAGGACAGCCATATTTTAACCAATCACCCTGCCCAGAACATATGGATGCCAAGATAGCAGACAGTGAACAGAAGACAGAGGTGCAGTGGCCGAGTAGTTAAGGCACTCGGCTGCATTCCTGAAAGTCTCACTCGATCTCACACTGAAAGGCCACCTCCGGTTCACCCCGCTGCAAAATGGGCACCTGATCCATCAGGTTAGGGCAGTCAAAGGCAGTCGGACATGGTGCTGCTACATCAGTCCCTTGTGTACCATTGGCTCTGAAAATGATATCAGCCCAGCAGAACTTTGACTTGCCTAGCAAACACGGAGAGAAAAAGACTGCAGCCGGTGCTGTTATTCAGGCCAGCAACGCCATTGACTTTAATGGAAGTACCCATCATGAGTGAAGGTGATGGAATGAGTGGGATGTTTTTCTATCTTATGGAAGGAGATGTATCCTGGAACACCATTTAGCCCACCCCAGTATCAAGTTCTAAGGGTTCTACCAGGCTGAGGGATACTTTGCTCTCTGAGTAGTCCCAGTAAGACACTATCGGTGTGACAGAATCAGGCCCTCTGGCCGTATGAACTGTAATTACACAGGAAACTGTTCCCCTGCCCTCTTTGCTGATGCAACAGCCTGCAGTAATAGCTGCTAGTTAGAGGGCCTCGTGGGAACGGCTTCTGAATTCCTTGGAAGAGCTTGTCCTGGATAGCTGAAGACAGGGGGTGAAATGTCACCTCCGTGAAGGAATGAGTCCTGTACAGTGTGGTCAGCCGCCGTGTGTTTAAAAGGCAAGACAATGCATGTTTATAACTATTATTCCCAGACACAAACCTGTATTAAGCTGGAGTGAAGGTCAGGAACACATATCTGTAACTTATTTGGAATGATCTTGTCATTTTTGTTTTAAACCCTTCTTCCCAAAACAAGGACTACAACCCCAGGAAATTCAGTTAAAACACTTACCCATGCAGGTTAATGTTTAGAAATGCAGAATTACAGTTTTTTGGGGAACCTGAACTGCCCTGTCAGTGTCTCCAATGCAGTTTTGAGTATTATGTCATCTAATCCTAAAGGGTACAATTTAGCTTTTGGGCTGAGAAAGCAAATGCACAGAATCCATGCTCACATAAGCAGTAGCATAAGTGAGGAAAGGAAGAAAAGGGAACAATATGTCAGACTTCTGAAAAATACACGTGGACATTCTCCTGTGTTTGCATACCACTATAATACTACCTCATTCTTAGACAGAGCTACTTTCAAACTCTACATCAGTAGATCTCTATGTGCTATACAAAGGAGATCACTATCTTAATTCCCATTTTACCAACGGGAAAACTGAGGCACCCCAGGGAAGTGACTTGCCCATGGTCACCTAGCAGGCCAGTGGCAAAGGCAGGAATAGAACCCACCTCTCTTGACTCTGAGTCCAACACCCTGTCCATACGCCACACAGCCTCTGTATGCAGCCATAGCCAGTTTTCTGGAATTAGAAGCACAGCTCTGTTCCTCCGGTCTTGCTCAGCCAAACAAATGTGCTAACTTTTCAAAGGGGCTTATTCTAACTTTTTCAAGTCATGTGTCAAATATTGGCTCCCCTCATATAGGCCCCAGTTAAGTGTGTAAGCATTCACTTAACTTTAACCGTGTGCCTTAGTCCCAGTCAATTCTTAGATGCTTTGCTGAACAGGGATGAACTGCTGAATCAGACCCTAGCGGTTTTACGAGCCACTTCACTACAGATAAAAATAATGTATTCATCTCCCTTTCCAACTAGGTTCCCACTGCTTGGTTCTGAAAAATTAAACAAACCCCATTTAATTCCACTAACCACGAGGCAAACTATTGGTGGCCTAGAGACCACAATTCCAGTCGCTTAAACTACATAGGCTGCTACATCGGATAAAATGCTACAGCCATGGCACTGCAGAGAATTCCTGAAATATAAATTAAGTTCAGCCTACAAGGTCCCTACAAGTTTAGCTGGCAGCAAAGAGGACAGAATGCAAACCGGAAAGAAAGGATCAAAATCACAGCTATTAAAAAGGTAAGTGTTGTTTTTTTTTAAGAGCCATGTACAACTTTTTTTCTTTTTTTTTTAAGCACAAAGATCTTAATGACTAATTTTACCCGGAGCAGAACAGAAAAATGATGGCTTTTTAGCCACTTGCCACACTGCTAGTACTGAAATGAGGTCAGCAGGAAACAGTTAGAAATCCTCCATTTATCCAAACAAGTATAATTATTAACAATATTGCAAACCGGGGCGGGAGGGGGAGGGGGCGGGAAAACAGTTTAGCAGCTTGGCAGCTCTGCCACCATCATCAGAAAATACAAGAGACCCAGCCATTAAACTCTACATTCAAGGGCCTTCAACACACTACATCTACCAGCGGGTGAGTCAAAGAAGCATTTTGGAAAAACCAGCTGAAGAGGCATGTAGTCAACCCAGGACATCGCTCATGGACAGTTAGAGACATTTAAAGAAAAAATTAACATTGGGAACCAATTTACTTTTGCTGCTCTGTGAAACAATCATGCCGCAGGAATTGCAAGTAAATGGCTGGAGTTCACATAGCTGGAACAGTGAAGAAAACAGCATAGAACTTTAATGGCTATATGAAATTCAATTGAAATTGATGGCTGGAAAAGTAAAACATTTTAACATCCTGTCAATGTAACATCAGCATAAACACACACACACACACACACCCCCAATGGCTGAGGACCAATTTCCCCCAACACTGCAATCTGTTCACAGAAGCACCATATAAGTGTCTATCGTTCCCATAGGGCTGTCAAAAAAATGGGGGAAAAAATCTTCTCTCTTCCCTCATACAGTAACTTAAGCAGTAAATGAATATTCTAACGTCCACAGACTTTGCACCACTGAGATTTTTCATTTAAAGCCCATACATTGTAAAAGTGGCAATCCATTATTATAGCCTGTCCCATCCATTTCTTGGAAAGATTGGAAACTGCTTTTGTGTTTCATCTTCGTTTGGAGCCATAACTCATAAGATGTCGAGGCTGTTTGAGCAGATTTTGTATCAACCATCTGTGGCTGACGTACTTTTCAAACACTGATCTCTTTTGTTATGGAGTCTGTTTCCAGCAAACAAATGGAAATACTGTTGATGGGGGTGTACTTTTCTAACATCTCAAAATATTGTTTTGCAGGGGTTTTTTTAAGAGTTTGGCAGAAGGTGGATAAAAAGACAAAACATTCTGACTGAGTAAAGAAAAATAATTTGTTACAGTTAGCCTACAATGTTATTTTTTTAAACAAAGTTACGTTACTAATTTTGGGCCTAAGTCCCAAAGCCTTTTCTCAGGCAAATCTCCTGTTACAGCTTCAGCGGGAGACTTGTCTGGGGAAAGCATTCTGAATTTGGCCCAAACATTTCAGAATTATACCTTACATAAACGGGGCTTGAATAAGTACCTAGGATAAAAATTTCCAAAAGCTCCTGTGATTTAGGAGCTTAAATCCCACTGACTTTCCATGGGACTTGGGCTCTTAACTGCGTAAGGCACGGTCTACGCTGAAAACATAGATCAACTTAGTTACTGGACTCCGGGGGTATGAAAAACCACAGGACTGAGCGCCATGGCTGTACCAGTTTAACCCCTGGGGTAGATGCTTCCATCAACCTCGCTACCATCGCTGGGGGAGGTGGAGTTCCTGCAGTGACGGAAAAGCCCCTTCCATGGCTCTAGTCTGCGTCTACGCGTTGAGGCTACACAAACGCACCGCCACTGCTGTGTAGTACCCGCAGCGGAGACATGGCCTTGAAAACAGGATGATGATCAATTCCTAAATCACTTGGGTGATTTTTGAATAATATTAATCTCTAGAACCTGATTCTGAGAAAAGGAATGAATGCTATGTGGCAGATGCTAGTCATGTTGCTTAAAGCACAGTTGGAAAGCGCTCAGATACCATAGGGATGAACACAGAACCTGTATAATTTTCAGAGGTGTTGAGCACCTACAGTTCCCACCTCTGAAGATCAGTCCATGGAGTTACATATTACACTTCCTACATAAACTCCCTGGCACGAGCAGAGGGAAGTGTTCACGTGGGCAGCTCACACAGTTACAGTGTAACTGAACTTGTTCCAGCGTGTTGTACCAGTTGATTCATGGTTAGGCTTTGAAATGCAAATTAATCATTATAACTTTTAATTGAGCTAATGTAAGCATCATATGTTCCTAATTACACAATGCAGAGGGGAAAAAAACTATTGCAAATGAATGTAACTGCTTAATCTAATCAGGATGGCAAGTTGTGTTTTAATTACAAATTGGTGTGCACAGGCAAAGCATCTGCTATGATTTAGTGGCTATGGTCCTGATGCGCAGAAGACCTGGTATTCTGACATCCCTCCGCATGCTGTTCAAGCCTACAGGTGCCAAATATCAACCACCTCCTTTCTCCTCCCCACACACAAACATGGAAACCCACATTCTGAATGTGCCAACATGCCCATGGCCCCACTGCAACTTTTACTGGGGGCTCTCTCCACGAACACACCTCTGGGATTTCAGCATCTGCAGCGCGCGTGTTCACACTTCCTCAGGCACTGGTGTTACAAGGGACCATCTAGCCTCCTTGCTGTTTCTCCAGCAAAGGAAACCCTGTCCTTAAAACGGCCTTCGCCCCCACATCTCTCCACTCCTGCGCTGTATAATCAAGGCTGCCTAAGACCTCCTGTATTCCTCTGCACCTACAGTCCTGGAGAACTCAGACTTAGCCCTTAGAAATGACTCCCCATTTTAAGCTGTGTAACAGTTTTCACACATATAGGCTGAGATCTTCAAAGGCACTTAGGGGACCTGGGCACCCAATTCTCATTAAAACTGGATGGCACTTGAGTGCCTAAATCCCATAGGTGGCTTTTAACATCTCAGCCTTAGAGTAAAAGTTTGCACACTAGGTCTTAATTTAGCCCAAAAGGGTTGAATCCTGCTCACCTTACTCCCACATTTAGCCCCATCTGATAGGCCCCAGAGATGGAAAACAACATATCAGAGATGAGCACACAAAACCAAGAATAATTAGTTAAATATGGGGGTAGCATTTAGTTTCTTACCTTTTATACATAAATTAAAAAAGAAACTCTATTTAGTCCAGCTCACTATCTGTCAGTTTTGCTTTACAAAAATCAAAGTGCCATTGGAGTTCATTTCCTTGACACTCTTACAAATCAAAACACTGGGAAATGCATTCAAAAAATCACTCCCCGACAAAGACTTTGTAATCTGAGCTAGAGCCCGGAGCAAATTTTTTACAACCAGATTAAAAACCCCTGCATATTGTGGATTTTAATGGACAGGCTGATAGACCTGAGTGACTATAACATAAGGGAACACAGTTGCATAATGCATCACCCTGAGTCTGTATTACTGCGAGATATGGGAAGATGACAATGTTTGCTGCCCGACTCTACCTGAGGGTCAGAAAAATATTCATTTGCCAATAACTCCGCTGGTAATTAACTGGAGTGTTTCCGGGAGGGAAGAATACCTCTGAAACATTATGGGGGTTACAACATGGTATCTAAAAAGCAAAGACAAGCTGTTTTTTCCTCACATTCTTTCATTTGATGTGGTAACTCTGATTTACCAAAAGGATTAATAAAGCCTCATGGTTTCTGAGCACACTCGCGTGTGTTTCAGATTTGCCCAGCAAAACACATTAAAACTAAAAACATTAATCATTTTTTTAAAAACATTAGGGCACGGTTTACTGTGGAACAATCTCCATTTCTCCCACTAAGTGGACAGATGGATTGCTACTTTGAAATTGGGTACAGTGTGGAATTTGGCAGAGGTCTCCAATTTGGCAATGTCTCCAGCCTCACTTCTTTCTTCAAATTCACTGTCTTGCAGAGGTTTGGTGTATGAGATGCACTAAGCAGACTGAAGAGCTCTTTTAAGGCAAAAAAGTCTTAGTCTCATTAAGTATTATTTTTAAGTAGCAGAACTTGAAGTTCTAAGGAAATGCTCATCACCACCACCTTTTTTCCAGTGTCCAAGTTGGGTAGGGACAGCTTCTGTTGGTTTCTTGGCTTTGGTACCTAGATTGCCAGCCACCACAAGTCTTAGCTCATTTTACAGATGGGAAACTGAGGCACAGGGAGCCAAGTGATTCTCCCATGCTCACACAAGAAGTCTGTGGCAAAACAGGGTCTTGAAGCCAGGTCTTACATGTCCCGGGTCAGTGCACCAACCACCAGGCCATCCTTCCTTTCAAGAAAATGATCAGTTTCTTCAAATAATATTGCGTTCTCCAAAAAAATAATATGTAAAGGCCCAATCCTGAAACACTTATTACCCTGAATAGTTCAGTGAGACTTCTTGCCGCAGTAACTCAGTACAGCAACAAGCATCTTCAGGATCTGCCCATCAGCCAGCAACCCTTGTTCTGCTCTCCCTTTTACTCTCACAAGGGAAATAAGGGTGGGCTAGGCCAGTACTTGGAGGGGGCCTCCTCTCTAAAGAGCTCCTTGATGCTGCAGGAAGTGGGATCAGTTCAGACGGTGTTTCTTAGGGCCTGGCCTGACCAGCATTCACTGCCAGACATGGTGCTTGTTATGGGGCACGGGCCCGTTCAGGATAATAGATTGCAGTCAACAGCGACCCTTTCAAGCTGATGAAAACGGACAGACAAAAGAAATATTAATTTTGAGCTCATAAGAAACTATCATGAACAGCAAATTCCCCAGCCATAAAAATGGCTCTGCATATATCAATGAAAACCAGAGCCTCAGTGAAAACCAGAGCCTGATGCTGGCTGGAGCCAACCTCTGGAGCAAACTCCAAGATTACAGCAAGCAGACTCAAAAGGCATGAAAGCAATCTCTGAACAAAGCTAAACGCAATGTTAAGACTCCAGAGTACATACTTACCCACCCATTTCTTAGCAAGCCATGTGAATAGGCTTGCAGCCTAAGTATCCTGACTTGTCCGTATCTTCAGCTGACTTTCTGATATATGGGTCAATACTTGTTTATCTGACGAAACATGTCAACTCATTTTTCTTCAGCTTTCAGAAATACCTTTTAAACCAGCCATTTACTTTAACCCTAAATCATCTGCCTATGCCTGTCTTCACTCAGAGAGAGGAAGCCCAGCAGAGTAAGACGCAGGTAATTCCCCTTGATCTGAAAGCTCACTTTCTAAATCAAATCAATTTTTCCTAACTTAATTTGTCTAATCGAAATCACTGACCCATGCAGTGTTCTCACAATCCTTTGACAAGAGCTGCACCAATTGAAGCAAGGCTAAAACGCTTCAGCCAGACCAATTCATGGAACTCTTTAGAGGAATTCTTTCATTGCTGTAATTAATTTTTTAAGTGCCTCAGTGGGATGCTCCGAATTCAAACCCAGGCCAGGGAGTAATGATTATGCTAATGGAAAAAGCTGTGCAGTAAATAATTGTGTGTGTGCTGCTGAAAGAGATCGTTTCCAACGGAGAGCTGATGCCACATTTTGTAGATAACCACTTACATGAGAACATTCCCAGTACAGAAGCCTGACACAGTGATTCCCAGACACTAGTGTGCTTACACCTCTCTTGCCATGGGACCTTCAGGCTTCCCCCTCCCTACTTCACTTGTGAGTCCGTACTGGATTTACAGCTCTGCCATCCTTCTCTCATTCAGCCATGTGCACTTTAAGTCCTCATGGACCTATAGGGCATTTTAGAGCATACACGGAACCACCCAGCTCCACGGGCCTGATCCTGCAGGGGTTGACTGTCTCTTGAAAGACACTGAGCACCCTCAACTCCCATTGACTTCAGCAGAAGTTAAGAGCACGCTGTACCTCCCGAGGGGTTGCGGGATCAGGGCACTCTCTGGTAATCCTGTACAATGGCCTCAAAAAGATTGCAAGCCATAGGCCAAGATGCAGACGTGATCTCTAATTTTAGATGCCCAGAAGTGAGACATCCAAGATCCCAATTCTCCACTGCCATGGAGACCTGTGCACAGTGGCTATCTAGAAAAAGGGCATGACAGTATTTCTAATGCACTTTGAGATCTACAGGGGAGAAGCATTAAATAAGAGCTAGGTGGTGGTATTGGTCTAGCTCTGCCCAGTGGATTTAGGAGGGGAAAGTGTCTCAACTTCAGACGACATTAACATTTATATGACTTGTTTTTAATGGAGATGAGTTTTCTGGCCCAAATTCACTGACGCTAACAAATTTCAATGGATTCCTTTCAAATGAAATACAATCAGTGAATAAGGGCATATCATTTTGGTTATATAGAAAAAAAAAGGAAGAAACCTTTTTATATTAATTCCAGTGGCTGCCAGAGATGAACAAATAATAATGCTGATAACAAATATACTCCATTATTGCAAAACAGGGCAGAGAATGTCTTAGTGCAAGATGATGTTTTTAGAGACAGTGTGACTCTACCTTCCTCCTTTTGGTTCTTGATGAGCCACAGAGCATGCTTTCACCGTGTTCAACTAAATTCCCGTGTCCGTTATTGTATAGATAACTTACAACTGTCATATATTTATCCACCTGCACAGAACTCATTTTTCTAGCCACTGTCCGGCCACCATTTAAATAGTTCCTTTTGTTACCAACTCTTCCATCAGCGAATGCAAGGATCTAAAGGGTGTAAGCACTGAAGAGGAAGAGGAATAGCTTAGGGTCGTCCAAGGGACAGAGCTAGAAATCATGGAATGCAACTGAGGGAAGGGGAAATTTAGGCTGAATATCAGGGAGGTCTAATAGACTGTGAAATGGTCTGCCAAAGGACACAGTAGACGCCTCGTTGCTGGAGTCATTTAAAAATGGACTAAACAATCCAGCATTGTGGGAGGGAATGGAAAAGATGACTTAATGGGTCTTTTCCATCTCTTATTCCTATAATTCTGTGCAACTGATGCATGCGGGTAGCTGAGTGTCCCGTGCTAAAAAAGATGAGAGCGCAGAGAAGCCCATGATGTGTCTCGGTCTGCATGGCCACAGAGCTGCTGCTATTAGATCAAACTTTTTAGACCCTGGATTTCAACTTCTATAATTAAACTAAAATCTAGTTCACTAAATGCACACACACATTTTCTTCTTTCTTTCCCCCATTAAGCAATGAAAGAATTTAATAGGACTTTGCTCTTCGATGCGGTCTTCCGCCCAAGGGCTTTACAAACACCTGTGACACTCACACTCACCACCCTGTGAGCTGGGACAGCAGTAGCATTCCCATTTTACCGCTGGAGAACTGAAGAACAGACACACTCACTGCCCAATTCCCAGAGCTGCTGAGCACCCAGTGACTTGATGAATGTTACCAAAGAAGTTCGCGGCAGAAGCAAGAATACAATCCAAATCTCTCAACTCATACTTCTGTGATTAAAGCACCAGACCATCCTTCCTCCCTTTAAGGTTACTGTGGGGTTCTTCTCTTCTCTGAATCAAAAATGTCACTCCTGAGTGAGTAGCAAACAGACTGTTTCTCTTTGGCAGCCACAACTGCTGTGTTTCCGGTGTGTTCAAGGATTCCCTGACCTAGAGTCTATGAATTCTGCCTGTATCTTTCTATAGGAAGTTCTGGGTACCACATTTCTTCCTTTCAAAGCAGCACATTCCATTAAATGTAATTACTCCCCACCCCTACCCCATTGCAATCATGCAGCTGCCAAACTAACTGATAGCAGGTCCTAAACAAAGATACACATTAAGCATGTGTGTCATTCATGAGAGTGGTGGGGTCTGGAGTCCAACTAAGAGTCTGCTAAATAACATAAAATGGTTCTTTTTTCCAACTTGGGAAATTCTTTATGAAAGATGTCCAAGTCTCCTTTTTGACAAGGCAATGCCTGGATCCTGCCGGTGTCCTGACATCTAACGTTGCACATAAAATGCATAAACAACATAAATGCTGTTGCTTCCACTGCTCTCCCGATCAGAGAAACTAGATTAAAATCATCTGCTGGCAGGTTTATTACATGGCTGGCAAGAAGATAAGGGTACCATGCACCATACCTCTGCACTTAACAAGAGATGAATCTCTGCTTTGCTATCTGTTTTTCAAATGTTTCCATATTAACAAAAGAGACCAAAGATGTAGGCAGGCACCTTTAACGGAATCATCAAAAGGATCTTGATTTCTTTCTTTGGTAAGAAGAAGGACTTTTCTTCCTGCAAAAAAAAAATATTATCTTCCACAGGCAAACTCTTCATGGAGTTCCCTTAGAGGTGGTGAGATTCCCCTAACACACTACCCGCAACTTAGCACCAGGCTGAGACAGTGGTTCAATACTAGGGAGTATCTGTCCTGTGAGCGGTAAAGTCCCTCATTAGGGACCAACTCAAATAAGCAAGCGCTACTCACTCCACAGGCTGGGAGAGAGCCCTTAAGATCCCAGGGCCCTTTTCGCAGGAGTAGGGATTTTAGACTCAAAGTCTAAACTAGACTCTGATTTAGGTCATTACATTGGTCTGTTTAAATTCCCCAGTGGTTTCAATTGTATTCTTCTTCCCTTCCCATTCTGAATAGCTTTGTAGCATTGCCATTTGTTGTTAAATATATATATATATTTTCTAACTTCGGTACTTATTACCATAACGTCTGGAGGTCTCGCATTCTTTACTGTATCCAGCTTCACAGCATTTAAGGCCAGAAGGGACCATTAAATCATCTAGTGGCATCTAATTTTCATCCAGATAGTTAATCCTTCAACACCCATGTGAGGCAGGGTTACTGTGAGTTCTATGGAACCCATTTTTCAGGTGGGGAAGTGAGGCCCAGAGAGACGAAGGGCTTAGATCTACCCAGGGACTTTGGCATCTAATTGACACCTGAGGTGCCACAGATCCTCAAAACCTTAGCTCAGCTACTTAACCGTGCAGGTACCTAAATCCCCTTGGCCCCAAAATTTCTATCAGTGGGCAGGCACAAAACTGCTTAAGTCCTGACAACCCCAAGCTCCTTGGCAGCCTAGCTGATGCCCAAGTCTCCAGAGGCGCTCTGGCCATTGCCCTGCTTATCTCACCTGAGGGGCCTGAGCCCGCGGGTGTTCTCAGAGCATGCCTATTGGGCTGGGCCTTACACAAGAGAAAGCCAGCAGTGACCAGATCAGCAATGTGCTTTGCTGGGGCTGGGACATGTGCATGTCCCAGACTACCCAACTGCCTAGTGGTTAGGGCACTGCCCCAGGTTGTAAGACACCAGTTTTCAAATCCCTGCTCTGTCTGATTTCAAACAGGGACATGAAACCAAGATGCCTGCATCCCAGGGGAGCTCCCAGGCTCCCACACTGTTAAGCATTCTGGGTGCAGGGGGGTCTCCATCTGTCATGTTGATCCTGTGTCTGCTTCATATAAATATTCACTGGGCCAGACAGAAAGACTGACTCTGTAACCAGGTGGTCGGGGCACTTCTTGGGACGTGGGAGACTGGAGTTCAAGTCCCTGAACCAAATTACTGGGTGGGCTATTGGCCATCATTGCATAGGGGGTCACTCTCTCCTCCCGAGAAAGGGCTGGCCCAGGTCAGCCCTACCTCCAGGAGAGGCGTCATAGCTGCGACTCCCAAATAGAGTTAGGGACTCTATTTGGGACTCCCAAATAAAATACCGTAGAGGGGTGGGGCCTGAGCCCCCACCTTCTCCTCAGCATTTCCTACTGGCTACCTTAGGCCACTCCCTGCTCAGCTTGCTGGTTTCTGAGAATCCCATTTGTAGGCACCTAACTGTCCCCATGCCTTGTACAGGGAACCGAGGGGCCTAACTCAGGGCTGGGAATTCTACTAGGTGGCAGGGCACCTAAAAATTAGGCACTGCAAATTCCTTTGGGGATCTAGCCCTAAGCGACTTGCCCACAGCCACATCAGGAGCCTGCGGCAGCATCAGGGAAGTGAACTCAAGTTTCCCCAACTCACAGAGTAGCACCCTAACCACCAGATCTCTCTTTGGTTGCTGTTTTCCATCCCAGTGGTGGGGGAAGTGATCACCCAGAGAGAATCTGCAAAGCAATTTGAGAGGAGCACAGCTGTACAAATAGAAGATATTGGAAACGGCATATAAAAAAAACCATATGCAGTAGGCTCTGGCCTAGTGGAAGACTGTGATGTTTGCTCCTGGCATACGTACCTCCCTCCCTTCCATGAGGACAGAACTAAGCGAAACGTCTTCCCCAAGCTCGTCACAATGTTGTTGTTTTTTTTCCTTCTTCTTCTTCTGGTGAAAAATCTGATGCCACACTTCGCTCCTGTCTTTGCCTGAAGTGGCAAGAGACCGTGAGGGTGTAATCAACTCTTTTAAAATGATCTTAAACGACAGGCAAATTGATCCAGTGGTAAGTCTCAGCTGCTTTTGCACTTGAACAAACTGGTTTTCTGTGAAAAACAGTGTCTACACTGCCGTTCAATAACATCACTCCTGAAATATGCATACCTGCCTTCATTTCATCACCAAAGTTTGGAAGAAAAGCAGTTTAAAATACACACACAAAATCTGGAGTACCTCATAAATTAATGAAGTTTTCCCAGCTCTAACACCCACCTGTGTAACCAAAGAACAATTGAAAGCCTGTTGTAAGAGTATTTTTGGATTATCATCATCATCACCAACATATATATTGCCCTTGTGCCTAGAAGCCAGCCAGGTCAGGATCCCAATAGGCTCGGTACCGTGCAAACATATGGCCCCTTCCCCAAAGATCTTACTCTGAATATATCACAGTGGTCAGCCTCCAGGGTAGGCAGGGCAGCCGATCGTACAGCAATCTGAGCCACATAAGGACCTAGACAGAGTCAGATACAGTGTGCCCTTTACCCACTGCTGTAACTCGCCTCAGAGGACATCTCTGCATGTCAGTTTTGCCTCTTTGCTTTCAGATGTCGACAGCCTCCACTGAAGGACCATTTGGGAAAATTCCTGACAATGTGGAACAGAATCATCTTCCACTACCTAAAAAGCACCGAGGGACATAAACAAGTGGTAATTCTCACTGAAAAGCCTTAAAGTGAGAATATTTGAAGGCTGTACTTGGAGAGTGTTTATGTGCAATAATCACATTCCAATGCACCAGCAGAGCAATTGTCAAAGGTGAGTGCTAGCTTTCTGTTAAAAAAATTCCAGCCACTGCCTGTCATTAAAAGCATCAAGTGTCTGATGAAATTTCAAGGGGCCTGATTTTAATCTCCCTTAACCATCCATTCCAGCAGAGTTGGTCCTCACTTACATTCGTATGAGAGAGCAGAATGAGGCCCGCTATCATTGGTAAATTAGAAAGTGAAGAACAGGCAAGCACAGACTCTGATCTCAGTTACGCCACTATGTAAACAACTCATGACAGAGGAGTTAGTCCGGATTTACAACTAGTGTAACCAAGGAAAGAATGTGGCTTATTAAACAATAAGTATGGCAAAGTCACAGGCATGCATCTCTCTGGAAAACATGGTCCACTGAGTGGCTGATAAGTAACAGATTAAGATTTTTAAACCAACAAGGTTTAAACAAAAAGGAATAGGGTTTTACAGAACACATGAGACCAATTTTTCATAACTGGCTGGCTATGCTGCACTTCCTGAATATGCATGGCTCCTTCACGCATGCCAAATGCACAGTTACGTGAACAAAACGAGTATCTTTGCACATAGACAGATAACTTTGCACATACCCATCTGAAGATGTCAGTACCATTCTGTGCCCAGTACTGCTTCCACAGAGAGCTTTACAATTGACATCAGTGGGAGCAGCTTGATGAATTAATGCAGTCTGAAGCTATATGTCTCTGTACCCAGTACAGTACTCTATTACCAGCAGGACAGTGGGGTGGGAGGAGGTATTGTTTCATATTCTCTGTGTGTATATAAAGTCTGCTGCAGTTTCCACGGTAAACATCTGATGAAGTGAGCTGTAGCTCACAAAAGCTCATGCTCAAATAAATTGGTTAGTCTCTAAGGTGCCACAAGTACTCCTTTTCTTTTTGCGAATACAGACTAACACGGCTGTTCCTCTGAAATCTGTACCCACAGTCACCCCACCCTGTGAGCAACCCCGTTCAACAACCAGGGCAACAATCAGCAAGCAAGTCCTTAGCAGCATCATGGTGTCTTTGGCAGGCACATGTCTAGGGAGCTAGAGCATGGGACAGGAGGCACAAAGGTGAAATCCTGGCCCCACTGAAGTCAATGAGAGACTTCAGCAGAGCCAGGATTTCACCTAACATCTCCATGCAGATGACACGCTGGGGATCTGAGGTCTGGACACCCTGCTTCTCCCATAGGAAAGCAAATCCTGCCACCATGAGGTCCCAAAATATCAATTTAGAGGGAACTCCGTAAGTGGAACCTCAGGGAGTTTTCCCCTCCCCCGTGCCCTCTTCCCGCAGTGATTCCTGTAGCGGGGCCAGTCTAGCCCTATATGGGTCCATTATAAAGAATAAGCAGCACCTACTGTGTTAATGCCAGTTTAGTCACTGGGACAGCAGTGTTTCGAGTGAGTGTCTCGAAGCCTGGATCGTGCCCAGTAGTAAAATACACCAAAACTAATTGTACTGTATGGATTTTTGTATGTAACTATTTTGGAGTGGAAACCTAAAGAGAGACGATCGATCAGCTGAAAAGTCTGATTTCAGTGAACGGAGCTTTGAGACCAAGCTTGACAAATTGAAGAAAATGATCAAAAATTGAAACACGCTGAATGATTTTCTAGTGTTTGAAATATACAAAATCAGGGTGGCGTGTCAGTGACTGAAGAATATTGAGCAAGGACAGGACTGTACTCTCGCTGGACCAGATTCTGATTTCAGTAACAATGCCATAAATCCAGAGTAATTCCATTTATTTCAGTGGAGCTACACCAGATTTAGATCAGAATCAGAGTGTTTGAAATATATTCCTTTAGTGGGTCTTTCAGCAGGAGGCAGCATATGATTCTACACGCACACATAAAGCTCCATTGTGAAAAGTAACCTTATCAGATGAAATATTTAAATCTAACGGATGCTGTACTAACCTGTAAACATAATCTGCATTTTTAAACTTCTTGTGTGATCACATTTTAGAAATTTCTTGTACAATGGATACTCTGGGTTTTTAGTGTCAAAGATGGCTCTGCATAAAAATGCTGCCATATTCTGTAGCTAGAGTAATAGGCAGGGAGATACACACATATATAATCCCCCTCCACCTCTTCCATTCCAAGCACTTTTTTGCACGCAAGGATCTTCCTGGCCTGCGTACATTTTACAGCCATTAAGGCAGTAAATTCATTAAACCAAAAGTGAGTAAGCTCGGGAAGACCCAGTCCCGAGCTCTCCACGGCTCACCCAACAAGCAGACAACAGCACTGATGCCCGCTCACCTGCACAGAAGGAGACAGTACCTCCTGTTGATCAAAAGTGACCACTGCAACCAGTTCAGAAATACCTGGAGGGATTCGAAAGAGAGTCCCATTCAGCTCTTCCTACCTGCAAGGAGGCTAATTGCAATGCCTTAAGGATGGGAAGGGTTACAGGTGGAATCAGGCAGGCATGTGAAAAGTCGGGCAACTCATCCAGGTCATCCACAGGATACCTAGTCACATAACCTTAGAGACAGTTTCACTGCTGCCAGGCTGAGCCCCGGCAACAGACCAAGGACCACTACCAGGAAGATACACTCCAGAGCAGGGCATATGGGGCCGCTAGCAGCCAAGTGTGCGCACCCTGCTTGAAGCCCCACGCACTCCAGTTATTGTGTCACCAGAGACAGGGGAATGATCTCTCCACTGGATCCTCACAAAGTGATTTGAGCAACACACTGGAGAACAAACAAGTCGAGTCCACTTCAGAAAGCCGTCCAGAACACGGTGATGAGAACACAGAGCAGAACAACTGGTCCGAGACACAGAGGTGCCCACAGAGCTGTCTGAATAAAGCCCCAGGTTGCCATGGCTCTGGGGGTATTAAATAGATGAAATGGTCGGGGTGAAACAGTAATGTACCACAGACGATTCCTGAAAGGTGCTTGTTAAAATGTGACCACCTTGCAGACGGAAAGCTTGGGAAGATTTCCCTGCCTTTCACTGTTCCTCACCTCTCTGGTCCACAAGCAAATGCACTCAAAGCCTATCAGGTGATGAGCAAACGTGTTGTGGGAGTTTGTGAGCAGGGTGTGAACTCCAGCTGTTTTACTGCACACCCTGTATTTCATTCACAGTGACCCCCTTCTAACGGGCTGGGTTTAGTAGCAGTGAGCAATAACACTAAAATTAGCATTTTCTCTCTCAAGGTTGGCTGCTCCTAGGGCTTCCCTGAAAAGACCATGCCATCCTAGACCTCAGCTCTTGCACCCAGAAAGACACTTGGATCCCTTGATACCTGTTCTGTTCATTCCCTTTGAAGCACCTGGCATTGGCCGTTGCCGGACCATCGGTCTGACCCAGTATGGCCAGTCTTATGTTCCCTTTCACCAAGACCCATGCACCCTTACATCCAGAGGAGAGTTAATGTACGCACCTGCTAATGAATCAGGAAGAAATAACCAGCATATCCCTGCAGGATTCCAACACTGCTAAAGTGTAGGTCAACAGAAGCTGCTGCCACCCTGTTGAGCTACTGGTTGCATGGGGGGCAGCATTCCCCCTGAAGAGAAAGCAATGAGCCTATCCTGCCAGTCCCATCATTCCCCCTTAAACCTCCTCATTAGGCCTTCACCTGTATCCTTGAGGCCAATGGAGACTATAAGTAGAATAAAGCCTGCAAGATCTGGTCCTTACTAATGACAACTTCCATGCTCCCAAATGAATGACTGCCTAAGCCAGTGATACTCAGACTGCGGCTCTTGAGCCATGAGTCCCTCTAATGTGTCTCCTGTGGCTCTTTGCAACACAATATTAAACCACTGTGTGATTTAATTATTAACTAATCTAAGTTATTAACCAATCAGGATGCTTTTACTGTGTTATTAACCAACAGTAGTTGATAAAATACTTGGTCAGGCATTTTGCTGGGAGAATTTTATATATATATATATATATACACACACACACACATATACATACACACACTCTTTATATAAAACTAAATATTTAAATATGATATATAGTACTATAGTATATTAAAAATGAATTCACATGACTGTGGCTCTTTTGAATAATGTTAATCGCTAATTTGACTCCTGAACCACTGAGGTCTGAGCATCACTGGGCTACACTAGGCTCATTAGAAGTGAGGAGAGGAACAGAAAAACAGGAAGGGGAACCACGTTGTGGCTGAAATTCAATAAATTTGTGCACTGCTCCCCATCTTATAGCTGGCAAGGGTAAAAGGCGAAGAGAGTGGACAAACAGATTTCCCTCAAGGAAACATATTGCATTCTCTCCTCGTTATAACTAGAGGGGAGATGTGGAATATTCTCATTACCTAGAAGTAAAGAGGAGCTGCCAGATGCTTTGAGT